CGCCTCTCTCTCTCCTCTCTCTCTCCTCTCTTCTCTCTCTCTCTCTCTCTCTCTCTCTCTCTCTCTCTCTCTCTCTCTCTCTCTCTCTCTCTCTCTCTCTCTCTCTCTCAAATAGTGTAAAAGCCTATCTGTCATTTTGCGTATTAACATTTATGCCTATGTCTAAGTAATATTCCATACATTTCCTAAATAACTATGTCCTGAATATCTGCAATACCTGTAGTTACTCAGATTCGTTTTTTGTAGATTTTGTAAAAAAAAAAAAAAAAACACATACACGCAGGGCGTGCTGGCAGCATGAAAATAATTTGCTAGTTTTTATTTAAGAGAAAATGCGTCAATACGTAAATTATCGTGTTATATTTCTAATTGAACTCAATCGTGAACTAACCATAAGATATACTCCCTGCCCTTAAAAAACTTTTCCTTTTGCAATTGCATCATAACAAAATATGCAATATAACTAATGTATATAAACAAGGATATAAAGCTCAATAATGCGGTGAACCAGCGCAAATTCTAACCTTACAATTACCGTACTCCAATATATATGAAAAAGATGTTTATATATAGCTGATACGGATCAATAAGGCGACCTTTTACGTTTCTTATCGCACACACTAAATATTCATCAAGACAGAAAGAGTGAACTATATTCCCTTTTAATTCTATCTCGCATTTTGCAATTTCTGGGACGCGCAGCATGGCGACAGAATGCCGGCGACCCCAGGGCTTGACCTCTTGTGCCGGCAGAGGGGCCCGGCGTAACAACCTGCTCCTCGAATTCTTCTCCCGACCCTCCCTCGCCTCTCCCCCGGGCGCTGGAACCACGTCTCCTTGCGGCGGCTTCACACGTGGGCAACATCTCTCCGATAAGGATCTTTGGCCGCGCTAAACGCCTTCGCAGCCTGCCCTGGCCGCGCCTCCTCTTCTCGGTGGAGGCAGAGGGTCTGGCCGGCGGGGTGGCCGTGCGGCGCGGAGGCCGGTTTCGTCGGCGACTACTAAGGACAGGGCATCGGGCATGGACCCCGCCGTTGCCGCGGCGCTGCGAGGGTCGGACGGCTCCAGTCCTTCATCCTACGACAGGGACCCAAAGGCAGACTTTTTCAGCAAATGTGATTTGGGAAGCTCTATCCAATTATCGCGAGATTTTAACTGCGGTAGCTTTCGATCACTGTAACGAGAATGAAATAGAAGGAAGTAGATAGACGAGTCAAGAGCCCAGGGCTGCTGGGAGGAAGAGGCGGGAGATGAGTCGTGACCCCAGACTTTCTATCATTAGCGCCAAGGTCGTCTCTCTCGACAAAACCACTTTCGTTGATCATTAGTGATCATTTACTGTGAGTCCTTCTCTCTGTTCAGACCATGGACCTGGGCTGAAATAGCACAGTGCGAACCACCAAGCCCAAAGCGAATGACTGTCATATTACATTACATCATTACAAGCTCTGGCAAAAGACAACGACCTTGGAGGTGGGTACACGTGGTAGCGCCAGGCCGCAGCGGGTCCAGACATGCCAAGCAGACACTCCCTAACACCCGGGGCCATCGCGGCATCCAGCGCCCGCCAAGGTCACACCCGGTCACACATGCACCCACGACCAGCCTTTCTGCCAACACGTACATCACTTCGCTGCGCAGCGCGCGTGTGACGTACACGGTCGCTGTAGGCTCTAGCAGAAAGGAATTCTCGCACGAACGATGAACGCGACTTGTATTAAGCGTATTCTGGGAGTCACTTTAAAGTCACTGCTGCGATACTGCATGTTAAAGGTGTATGCTCTTCATAGAAGCAAAATCTTGTCTAGACAACTATTTCATTCTGCATCCTGGCATTTTCTCAGTAACTAGCTTCGAGATAGGTACACGATATGGCGTATTTCCGTGCCACATGGAAATCGTATTAACAAAGCCATATATCTCACACACAAAATACTAATGAGAAATCCGCTAAGTTCTTTTCAAACGAGAGTATTCCCGATACGTTTTCCATACTTCCAGGCATAATGTCAACGTTACTCCAGACCAGTGGTTCCTAACCCCATGGTCGCGACCCAAATGAGGGTCACCAGGGATTTTTCTGAGGGTCGCCAGAGGGTCTTACATGAAGAATAAAAGAATCCATAGCTGGATATGTCAGTAGAAGTTTTTCATTAATAGTTGTTTATTTAAATTCAATGTGTTGGTAATATAAACCCATAAAAGTATAGAAAAACGAAAGTTAATATAAATCTGCAAGTATAACTACCATGGAAATAGTTGGATATATTACTAAACATTCACATATTTCGGGTCGCTAGCCCGGGCTCAGACTTTAGGGTCGCACCCAAAAAGTTTGGGAAACACTGCTCTAAACCAATGACATTCTGTGAGTATAATGGTATAGTAACCAGTTTAAAATGCATCTACACGGCATGCTAGGCGGTGAAAAAACGTTACATTCTTGTGTCCTGCGTAAGGTGCCATTCTTAACAATTTCACGATGTTTCATACGAGTTAAGAGTTTGTTAAACGTATAAGCAAACTATATTCACATTGGTTAGTCTTATACCGTTTAGCCGAAACCCGGTATTGCAAGTTTCGTACATGGCTAATGTATATCACTCGGAGTCTTTGCGAGTAACGATACACCGTAGGAACCAATAGCTAATTGTACATCATAAAGCCGTCATTCGCACAAACAGCGTGGACTTTAAATATACCTTGTACTACTTGCACTCAGACAACCTGGCACTTATGTTCTGACTGGCAATACGACTCAAAATATAAAGGAAACTTACCTAAAACAAAAGAAATCCATATTTTACATATTTGTTAATCTAAGGTTCAACTGGAACTTGAAGTTGAATATAACTTCAAGTTCGATATGTAACGTAATCATATGGAATACTAATAGGCCTATAGTCTTATCCTAATCTAATCATATATTGCAATAAATACGGTCTCGGACGAAAAAATGAGAGAATTTCCATTCGGACGCAGATCTTTCTGAACTTCATCATTCGAAAATCACATCCGGGATCTTTGGGAAGTTTATCAGTCTCCCCGGGGCTCAGGTGTTGAGTACCAAGTGGTGACTCATGACGTCAAACTCGTGTTCATAGTCGGTGAGGGAGATGAACAAAAGGAGACGCAGCAACTTTCGATATGTCTATAAGCTTTTTATCTACACTAACGAACGTGTCCTAAATACCACTACATTCTGTGCATTGTTTGCAGAATGTATGTCTAATTCTAGGTTGCCGGCTATCACACTAACGTACACACAATACAAATACATAAAACACACACACACATGCGCGCGTGCACACACGATAAAATACATAAACATACACACACAATAAAAGTACATAAACATATATACACACAAAATAAAAATATAAACACACACACACACACACACACACACACACACACACACACACACACACACACACACACACACACACACACACACACACACACACACACACGTTGACTGAATAGAGCGGTAAGCATATATGAATATGCAAATTTGATCTCGACTTTAATGAAAAGTGGGCAGGATGTTGACACGGCAATTAACTCTTAGCTCAAGCGATAAAGTGGTCGCCAAAGATCCAATGTATTGCTTTGTTTTGGCGATATATATGTAGACATTTCAATCGCATTCTTCTGGACACCCAAATCATCTTCCTAAAACACTGTATTACAAAGACGCTATGACGCTATGAAAATATATCTGGCAGGATAGCCCTGTATAATAGTGAAGACGGCCCACACCTGTAGGTTTGGAGAGTAAGTGCTTTTGTCTGCCCGGCATGAATCAAAGGCATGCGCTGTCATACGCTTGTCTAACACTAATTATTTTTAAAATATATTCTCTGACATTCCCCATTGCTCCCCCTGATTTTTACCATTAGAACTACCTTACCTTCGAAAAAAATATATCAAAGATATATCTGAGCACACTTCAAGTCATTATAATGCTACTGACGTTTATAACTTCCAGCTGACATTCCTGACACGCATTGCAATCCCTATATCTTTTTTTTATTAAGGTGGTCAGACGAGCCACAGTCTCCCAATAAATAACGGACACTATCACATACGGTCACATGCTTGAGCTTTAATGCTTCGAACACGGGGCAAATCATCAAACGAGTCTCGGGTTGTAGTCTCCGCGCTTTACACACCCACAAAGCGTTGGTCACAGCTGCTCGTCGTGCTTTTAATTGCTGGATGAGATCTACGTCCATTAGCATAAAGTCAAGACAAATTAAACAGACCCGTCTATTTAATGAAGAATGCCCTGGTCTGAAAATACGTTACCTCATTATTAAAAAAAAAAAAAATCGCCGTACTTTATTGTGAAGTATACAGGAAGCCTACAAAACACAGTCAATTAGAAATCTATAGTGATAAAAAATCATGTTACTGATAAGTCCTAAAGATGGAGAAAATAGGTTAGGGAAACTAGGGGAGATGGTGAGGGTGAGGAACAAGATGGAAACGGTAAGAAAAAAAGCGGATAAGGAGAGAGGTATAGGCGAAAGACAGGTTAAATGACGAGGGGAACACAAATACATACGCATACACAAAAATAAGTATATAGAGAAGGAGGAGGAAGAAGAGGACGAGGACGAGGACGAGGGGGAGGGGGAGGAGGTGTGGAGGAGGAGGAGGAGGAGGAGGAGGAGGAGGAGGAGGAGGAGGTGGGGAGGAGGTGGTGGAGGAGGAGGGGAGGAGGAGGAGGAGGAGGAGGAGGAGGAGGAGGAGGAGGAGGGGAGAAGGAAGAAGAAGAAGAAGAAGAAGAAAGAAGAAGAAGAAGAAGAAGAAGAGAAGAGAAGAAGAAGAAGAAAGGAGGAGGAAGAGGAGAGAGGAAGTGAAAGAAAGAGAAGAGAGAGGAGAGATAGAGAGAGGAGAGAGAGAGAGAGAGAGAGAGAGAGAGAGAGAGAGAGAGAGAGAGAGAGATCGAGACTTACACCTGAGACTAAAAATTAAGTAAAAGAAATACTTACCGCACAGGAGAGGAGAGGTGGTGGAGGCGGGTGTTGGATCAGCTGGGGGTGTGGCCGACCTGTGTGTACGTGCTGTCACTCCGTCTCTCTCCCCCTCTCTCTTACACACACACTTACAGTATGGTATTTACATCGCTTTTCACGGAATGATGTAATATGGTTTGTCAGGGGAGTTTCCTTTAATCATGAAATGTTCTGTCTTTTCATTCTGTAACAACAGCCTGTTGTTAGTATGTGCTTCCTATAAGGTATTATTGACCATACTTACGAATGACCTTTTTTAATCAATTGAGTCCCGTAATCGAAAACTCTGACTACAAATGAACTCGAGCCCAGATTTATTTATTTGACGCTATAACGAACCACAACGTCAACTGTACGGTATAATAACAACATTATCTCCTATAATTATACCACATATGTATAATACATGTGACTGAAACATTTATTCAAACAAGACGTCAAAGCATCTTCGTAATTTTTAAGAGAAATTACAAATCGAACCATGCGAAACGAAAACCGCATGTCACACCTCACCATACCGTACGTACCGACGTGTACAAGTAATCAAATAATCTAGACCTATAATAAATGGACAAACGGCAAATAAAACACCCAGACCGGTCAACATAGTCTGTTCACAATCCACCATACACCAGTGCTTCAGAGGTGCAGTTATGACTTCACTTGAATGCAACCACAAGAAACGAAGCAGTTAACAGGCCGTTAATCGAAAAATAATAGGAGTCAAGAGTTGACACGTACACTCAATACCGCGGCCGGAGAGAGACTAGCGGGGTTGGGCGCTCGTGGTCGGTCTCGAGCTAGGACTGCTACACAGCTCGGGACTGCCAAGGCCACTTCCAAACGAAATGATGAAAATTCATTAACTTGCGTGGGCAGCCGACGACCCTGCCCGATTCACCGGTGAGATGTAATGGCCGGATATGTCTTCTTGATTAGCTTATAAGTATGATAGGTGAGGATGTTATTAACAAAGGGACTGTTGTAGTTGCAAGCTCTCTCGTCAGATCCAAATATTTCCTTTGCAATATATAAGTGAAAATTAAAGGTAGGCTATATACTTGCTTGTGCGTCCAAGTAGGCCTACTTTACAATCAGTATATGAAACGTCTTCCATCGAATTTTGCGGTAGCTCTGTTGGCGACATTCTACCCAGGCGCGCCAAAGACAACGATGAAAACAATAATACCCTGTCGAATTTCCGCATACTTTTCAAAAGGATACTTTGTACTAGATTAAGGAAATTTGCGCAAAATCTCCATTTTCATCCGGACGTTTCCATTGTTCACTCGCGAGGCAATGCGATTATGGCACTAACGAAAATGTATGCGAGTAATGGAGAGCCAAATCAATGCCACGAGAACGATATAATATAGTAAGACACGTTAATGTGAACACACGCATTTGATAACTGAACGAATGTGCGTGATAAATATCCTTGATATACAATTATCCATTAAATAATCATATGCTCCATTCATTCTCAGGTGTTTCTACATATATCGTTTATAAAGTATGATAAAAACAAACGCTGCATAGGCATCCTTGTACGGAAGGTAGTAAATCAGGTTCATGAATGGAGCTAAAGTGAAAGTATTCCACTTGTCGTTTTAGGAACAGCAGGCCCCATTTATCGTTACCCAACTAACCTTTCTAACAGCGGGCATTGACGTCTGAAATTAACCTCTGCGTAAAGAAAACGTATCGAAACAAGCAAAGTCTAAACTCACGTCCAGGTGGATATCAAGATCACTCTGCCAAAGCAAGTTTGTAGCACACCTGTTCCTTGATACGCCTCGCAGGAACTAAAGACCGGAGTATCAAGCGGAAATTATATCACAAACGCAACTAATCAGTGAAAATGATTCTTCTCACAGGCATAACCAAGAGTTGCGATCCTTTCACTGTGCGAGAGACAGTATTTCTGCATGGTAAGCCCACGCCGCCGCTCACCTGCCCCTTTGCACCTGTGCGTTTCCATGGTAACCGCGAAGCAATACGTTGATTGGTTAAGCGCTACTCGGCATCGCTAAACCACCCGAAGTTCTCATTGGTAAGTTCTGGGAGTTGAAAGAGATAACGAATTGTTATTGGGTAGGAGTTCTCAGTAGCGCTGCGCTCTCATTGGCTAGAATCAGAGGTTGTTGGAAGAAGTAAACAGAGATCAGCTGATTTGAGACAGCAAGTATGTTGGCACTAAGGCACAGTTTGCGACCTTTTTCGGTAAGAAAATGATATACATCATTGTGAGGAGACAAGGTTTTAGTTTGATATATACTATCATTATAGAACTGGACACCGGATACATCAAGGATAGTGAATAAAGATTGCATAGGTTTGTGCCTTGTTATATTTCGAGAATCGTAAGAGATAACGTCGAAGATAATGATTATTATCAGTAGCACGGTAGACGATTTCTAAATGGTTTTAAAGCGACAGTAATCTTTTTACCTACTAGCCCAATTTACTGATTGGT